AACTTAAGAAATGCCAACTTTTGAGACGAAGTTTCAACTTCCACAAAATATGAAAAATGGCTATACATTTTAAGTGTAATCATCTGGTGAAATCGTTACTAGATCATGCTCTTGAAGTGAAAAGAGCATTCCTTTCATCACATTTTCCTTATGCAGTCTCTTAAAATTCTGGCAAAATAGCCAGGATTTCCAGTGCTTACATGCTTTCTTCTGTTTGACCTGTAAACTAAAACGTATTTCTAAGTTAGCAATTGCGAAAAATATTAGTATTCATTTTTTCAGCTTTTTCTTTACGTAGCTTGCGGGCGTTATACTGTACGAAAATGTACCTCGCTACAAGCCTAGCGTTTATGTACACGATAAGATATACATGCATTTTATCAGGATTTTTTTCGGATGACCAACATCTGAGAGCATGGCTTTCTTTATACCACAAAGCAAGAGTGGCTTTACTTGAAAAAAATGTCCGTAATATTCTCGATGAAAGTGTAATAATTGGGGAAAAAATCGATATGCCGTCTAATTGAGCTTCCTCGATGGCTCATGTCCACTCACCCTGATAACTAATCCTTCCCGTTGGTCATAGGCGGGAAGAAAGCCGCATATTTTAGGTGCATTTTCCTTTTGAGCTCCAATTTTATTGAGTTACGCCACGACGTCACTAAAATACTCGGCAGTACTCCGAAAGTGAGCGCCACGAGTAGCCCTCTAGTTTCATCCTTTGAATGAAATAACATCACCGCCCAATCTTGTTTTGACAGTTGTAAGTTTGGTCTGGGCGCCTCACAGACGCGAATCACAGGAATTGGTTCGTACGTACTTAACGATTCAATGAGTGAAAGCTATATGAACAACAAAGAGAGATATCAACTGAACGAGAACAACGGCTTGCTTCATCACAGAACTAGGCTATGCCTCAAACTGCAATGCACAGATCGGCCTGTTCATCCGAAGTATCGTTGGTGAAAGACCTTGTCAGACTAGCTGACCAACCGTCTCATTTCTTGGTTTAAATTTATTTGTGTTCTTCTTTCAACTCTTATCCAAACAGACAGCATAAACGAGAACGTCATTTGTGAAGAACTACTTGGCCACTCTGTCTCTATACATTCACTCATTCAGGCTAATCTCACAAATCATTTGTTCTCTACCCGGTTTCGAATGCGAAACTTAATAACCATCTCACATTTCGCAATGAAAGTACCCTCAAGGCATGATCCTGGTTTCTTTTTCCATTCACAGTCATGTCAACATTCTCAAAAGTCAACCAAGCCTTTATTCATGACCCCGACGACCCAGAGCGGAATGGTTCCAAGAGTGAGAACACAGTACACGTGGCAGAACAGGTTCAGCTTGATGCGGAGACACAGGACAATGCGCAGGATCTCCTTGGTTACGGGGATGCTGACGTTCACGGCTGTTGGCACCGATTCATGTTTAACTTGCGAAGTAAATGGTA